CTTCTGAACCTCCAAGGTTTTTATCTCTTCCTTTACATACCAGGTACTTTACTTAAAAACAGCAAGCAAAATTTCACAAGAAAACTATGCTTGCAGAATTACTTTCCTCTGCCCAGAAATATCTATACTTCTAAGCCTTCTAGGGCAATTAGCATTTTGACTTGGGAGGTCGTCTTTTCATATGTCAACTAGTTTCTGTGTTCTCTGGCTTCACTGTTGTGTGATCCTCAGCCACGCTTTTTATCTCTAGGTTTTCCACTTCATTCACGTATCAAACTGTTCTTGATTGCATATAGTAGAGCTAGTAAATCCATTCCTTGCCACATGTCACACATCACAATGTTACATGTCCTGTGTCCCTTGGCTGCTGCTCACTTGTATTGATTACTTGCGAAAGACATTGCCGGATGTTTATGTCCCTGCTGCCCATGTCACTTCTACACAATCACCTCTTGTAGAAAGGGGATGAAACTCATCAGGTCCACTGAGCAAGAGTACAGAGCCAGAAGAGAAATTAAGTCATGGCTTATGCATAACGATGATACAAACACTTCTGACATTGACTACAATGGAAACACCTCTAATGTAATGTTCTCTTAGATAATTTGTTAGCAGGGAACACGTATCAGTATTCATTACTGCTTTCCACTTCCTGCACTCACTGAGCACTCAGCATGAGAAAGATTAAATAGCTCTGCTAAATTTACTGTCTCAATGCTAATGACCTGTTCAGCTACTTTTCAGTCACACCTCAAGCTATTCAATGCTTTTTCTACAACTTCTCCCACACTTTCTTCATCAAATTTTTCTGCAAATGTGCAAAAACTATGCCAACCTACAGCATGTGCTCTCAAAATATATGCAGATGTTTTCTTCCACAAGTCATAGATTGTATGAAGACAGAACAATGAAAAAGGAATGAAAGTGAAATAAGAGATTTATCTTACTTGCTCAAAAATATCCATAAATTATTAATTTTCAGCCAGATTCTACAGTCTTCTTCACACACAACTCCAGCTGAAGTTGCTGGAATGTTTCTCAATTTTGATCTTTAGAATGTGGTCCACAGCTAGTAAGTACCTCAGTACAGAGACAGTCCATTGCATTTATCTGTAAAGAATCATCTACAGACCTAAGAAATGATAAACATTCCTGGGTCTGAAATCTATGAATGAAACAGATCACCTTGAATGTTGTGTCACATAGCATGAATGCCTATGCATATCCGAAGCTGAATAAACTGCTGCTTTATGATGTTCAAGGAATTGGATGGCAGAAGGTTGAATTTATAGCTAAAAGATCAGCTTTATATGTGCTGGGACATTTGTAAGCTAAATTTCGTTGTTGATATTTTTGCAAAAAAGCTGAAGAAGTTGAGACCTAGGAGTTAGAGGATACAAACAGTGGTAAAAAAGCTATCATCTGGAATCTTTTATGAAAATATTCACTACATTGCAGACCAACCCCCAAGAAAGTAAAAGAGGTCATTCTATGCAGTACATACTATGATAAAGTGATACAAGAAACATAATCCTAAATTATATTCTTTCATTCTGGAAGCTACAGAATGAACTCAGGTAAATTTCTTGGTGACAAAATACAATATATCTGAAGAACTGAGAATGATTTCTTTCTTAAAAATTGTAATAAAAATATGATTGGAAAGATATTTTCATAAAAGGTTGCCATAATCTGTTGTCTACAATTAAAATCCATATAGTGAAACAGTCTCTGATCATAAATACTATAAACATATTTAAGCACACTCAGAAGAAGCTCAAATATTTTATTTTTCCTACATATGTTTTATGTTTGTTTTAATGTTAGCATATATAAAATACTTCTACAGATAAACTTTATGCTCTAAACAGACATAGAAAGCAGACATGGGTGCCAGGTTAATTTCCTGGAAAACTATGTAGGAAATATTTGTGGCATAATTAGTCATATAGGTTTTTCTGGGTAAAAGCAGACATGCTTAGTCATCTAATAAGGATTGTCTTGGAGCGCTCTGTTATTATTTTTCTTAAATATCTTGAATTCTTGATATAAAACAGGCTCAAAAATGACTCATTTTGAATATTTATATCCTTGCTTTCTTCCAAAATGTTTATTTTTAGTGATAATTCTCACAGACTTTTTATTAAAAGAAGACTGTTGTCCTAATAATGAAAAGTTGTAAGTAATTCTGCAAGTTACTTATGTAGGAGAAAATCCTTGTTACACCTACAATACCCTTGCTTAGAGAGGCCCTCTTGTGTATAAGCTCTCCCCGACACACAGCAGCTTGTCAGCACTTTTGCAGCCACTACTGTCAGTTTGATTCACAGTGATCTCTCCTGCATGGATTATTTTAAAATAACACAGTATGAATGAAATCTTGCAATTATCACAAACACCCAGGTGTTTGGTATGGCAAGATGGCCTATAGGATTGTTGCTAATTTGGCCTGGAGAACTTGTGTGCTTGATCAGTGTTTTCTCAGGGCAATTGGGCACAGTGTCTGTATGTACTGTTGCAGCAACACACAGCTCGTGCAACTCATTAAATCCAAGTGAAAAATGTAGAGGTAGCTGGTCCTGCTGCTGTCCTTCTTAAACTAAATGATAAACAGCACAGAAAAATAGAGGTTGGAGGGAGAAGCTGAAGGAAAAGCGAGATGTCAATATAAAGCCTTGCTGGCAGACAGCCATACTACCTTCACCTTGCCTAATTACCACAGCCAGCCGTACGGGCCTTCCCTCCTTTCTCTGCCTCCCTTTCCTGTAGTGAGTCACTCCTGCAGACGTTAACTTGGTTATTCTGTTAGTTGATGAAAGACACTGTGTATTCTCTTATTCTATTTTTTGTTTACCATTACATAGCGTACAAAATGACTTCTTAATGCTTTTCCAGATTTGTAAACATTATTTTCACACCTTTTAAAATTGTCCCCTATTACTGTAATTATGAACATGTTGTGTTTGCACCATCCTGAAAAGTGGTATGTGTTACGGAAAAAAAAACTTAGCTGTTCTTTTGTAGTGACAGAAAAATAATATTCTTCATTTAAACTCAGTTTGGTTTACTGGGGTGTTAATGCACTGAAGCTGACATTATTAACAGTATAAATTTACTTAAAAGGCTACAGGAAGGAAGATCATGTTAGGTTGCTGAAACATTGTACTTGTGGAAAAAGCTGATTATTTAAGCTAGAAGTTAATGAAATGTGAAACTGATGATGTTGTATATTCTCTTCAGTCTCCACAAATGACTAAATATATTTGAGAAATCAAGGTATCAGTCACACTAGTTTTCCAGTACCAAAAGATTCTATAGTAAAAAAGAATTGTAATCTCCCATGTACAGCAAAGAAATCATGAGGAGAGCCAGCATTTGCCTCAGGCATCCTTCCTATAGATTTCTGTGTCCATGTGCAGGCTGAGGGTCACAATCTAGACGAGTACTGGGAAGAGTAGAGGTTAGAAACTCACAAATCACGTACTACCTGATAGTACTTTTCTTTCTAGATTTCCTTTGCAGTTGAGTTGCACCTTTGAAGAGATCCATGTGCTTTGGCATCACAGCGACTGAAAACTAGACACTTAAAATATTTTGGGTCTCTTTGAGTTGCTTGTAGCCTGACTGTTCCACAGTCTATAGGAATCTTGCAATAACAGGTGAAGAGTCTAAATGAGCTCTACATATCTAGGCCTTTATTAAGCAAAGCCAAGTGACAGAGAAAAAAATCAGACTTTCTGTCACCTACATGCTTCCTTCCAATTCTAATAGCTGCTTTAATGCTTTTGTATCTCTTCTCTCTACTGAGGTTTCTATTCTTTGCTTTGTTTTCTTTTTGTGCATTTTATTCTCTGATGTTCTAGATGCTCTGCTAAGTGACATGTTCCAACCATAGCCAGTGCTGTATCTAATCATGAAATACTGTGCTCAGACACTTGACAGTGTTTGAAAATACTACTCTTGCTCTAGAAACAATGTGAGGAGTTTAGTGTCGGTGAATGTAACTAGACTGGTAATTGAATGAGAATGTTTCACAATACAAGAAAAATAGTATTCCTGTTTAATTTATCAACTTTGTTTGGTTTTATTTTGCAATTCAGCTATTATAAGTTTCTCCATGGGGTTTTAGACAAAATATAAAGCTTATTTTTTAATGACTGTAAACTCCGTAAAGGTCTGTTTTTCTGAAAGATAGGATAAATCCTAGTTCAAGGAACTGTATTTTAAGCAGAAAGGTGGCACTGGATTGGGGCTTACTGTGCAGCATCTTCAAGCATCCTGGAAAACTGAATTTGATTTTGCAGAATTCTGTTACTTTTAAGATTATCTGACAGGATTATTTGTATTTCTAGCAAAGCTCCAGGAAGCATATAATACATGTAGAGTGGAGTCAACTTGAGATCCTGTTAATCATGTACTTAGCATCTCGGTTTTTAGGACAGCACATACTTGGGTGATTTTGGCCCATCATTTGTGATCTGTTTGAGGATTGCAAAGAACAAAAAGGCTATATATAAATTTAAGATAATATTATCAGCTGAAGCTCTCTCAGATTCAATAGGCAGAAGTAGATAAACTGAGCTACTGTGTACCACTTTGTGGTTTTAATTTAGAAAATAACAGATTGTAAAAAATAAGAGAACCTGTCTCCAATTTTATAGTTGCCCTAAGTCCTAGGTGCTCATTCAGCATTATTTTTTCAAGATATCTTGTTTAGATGAGAAAAGAAATTATATTAAATTAGATTTACTCATTTTATACAATATACTACTTTCTAGGTTGAAGTAAATGAACTAAAATTACATTCTGGATACACAGTTACCATTAACAATATTAGAATTGTGGTGTTTAACAAACAAACAACTCCAGAACTACATCTCTGTAACAGAATCTTCAAATGTTATACCTGTACTTGCACAAAATATATCAGTGAGAATTATATCAGCAACTAAAGCTTGTGATTATCTCACCAAATCAGGAATGGAGGTGGGTGCACTTACTATGTCAGCACGATAGCCACAGCATCATTTAGGACACTTTCTCCAAACAGGAGTGTATACAAATCTGTATCCACATGCAGCTCGTGGAAAATAGCAAGGACTGTCACTGTATGGAAACAAAGCAAAGTGAGTTTGTTATTTTCATATTCCTCTGGCAGTTCAAGAAATAAAGCAATGTTAGAAAATGGTTTTTGAGAAGTCCTGTCCTATTTATTACCTAAGTGGATAACAATAAGTTAAAAGGGATCAGCTGAAGTATATAAGATCCTTAAATCCAGCAAGTCTATGAGTTGTTGCTTCAGCTGAATTAGGAAGAATCTCTCCATCTCACACAGAGAATCATACATAAATGAAAATGTCACAGCGCATTTTACTGCGCATAAAGGACTTAGATCTTGTGACCAAGGAGAAATAAGGGTGTTGAAAAGACTTGGGGTTTGCCATAGACTTTGTTTATGATGTGAGTAGTGGTTTACCTATTTTAAGAAGGATATAATAACAACACTTATCATCTGTTATGAATGTTCACTGAGGAACATGAATAATAACCTTATACCCTGTCCCACCAGCAGTGTAATCGCTTCCACCTCAAGTATGGCACATCCGTAGTCACGAAGCCCTCCCATCCAGATCAGGACATCTGACTCTTGTAACCTACTTTAAGGTTCCTACAGCATATCGTTAGTTTAAGTCCCTTCCTTCTCCCTAAGTTATATGCTATATTTGATTTTCAGCTTACCAGTGCAATAGAAAAAAATAGAGTGTTGAATTTAAATTGAAGTTGGGCAAATCATTTAGACACACATCCTCAAAGGCACTTAGACACCTGGTTCATATTCAGGTAATTAAGCCTTATAGACATTAAAGGACTCTTTAGTTGTTTTATGCCTCAGTTTCCTTACCTGTAACAGAGAATTACCATCCTTCCCATGATCTACCCAGCACTTCGTAATCTACAAATGAAGAAGGCTATCTATGTTCTGTGTTGATATTATTATTCTCTCTTTGCATGGATGAAGCAGAGCTCTCATGTTAACATCTGACATTGTTAACATCTGACATTGCAGAAATGAAAATTATGTACTTTTACATTGAGATGACTGCTGATATTTCACACAAAAACATGAACAGGTGATTATGCTTTGTCTTAATAACATTTCTTGGAACTTTGAAATCATTACTGATAAGATTTTTCTGAATGTACTTAAATACCCGTATAATCTAGAAGTCAGTTTATAAACCCAAAATAGATTCACAGTTCTCCTGTGAGATTTTATGTCAAAGTGATCTCTAAGAATTTTGGAAGCGTTATTCTACAGAAGACAATTTAGGAAATGTGTGTAACTGAACAGTTGCTGATATAGCTATATTTAAATTAGGTAGTTATAGTTAACCATCCTGGTAACCCCACCCATCTACTCCCCAGTGCAGTTATAATTTAAACTAGGAGAAGAGTTCTTTCCCCAGAACAGCTCAAAAGAAGAAGTTTTATTGGCAAAAGATATTTTCTTGGTTCACCAGTATCTATCTTCAAGTTTTTGCTTGATTAGCAATGCTGCCTTAATGCGCTAAATGTGGACCCAATTTAGTGTCCCATTCTTTGATGTCATTGGCATAACAGCAGACTTGTTTTCTAAAACTATTCACCACTTCCAGCTTTTGCTTATTAGTTAATTAGTTTGGGCTCACATTATTAGTCCCTGTGATAATGATAGAAGGAAAAGAAAATAGTAATCAAAGTCCAATGTACTGTTGGTATGTATGTGTAGCAGGCCAAGCAATTAAACAGATGCCTACACATTCCTCTTCTTCCTCTTGCCTCCTAAGAAAACAACAGCTTTCTCTTTTTGCTTTCTCTCCCATCTCTACCCCAAAAATCTGACTTAAACTCTTTTTAAATGAAAGCAAGATAATAAAGCAAGCAACACAGCAAAGCATCAATTGCCTCTTTTGGGACAGACTCCCCAATTCACCCAGTTCTCAGAAACTGTCTTCCATTTCAAATGTTTCTCCCTTCCCCAGTGGAGGTTATTGGAACTTCTTTACAGCATTGCCTGTCCCTGACTGACAAATTCTGCTCTCTGGAGACAGACCACTACCGGTATCTGCTCTGTCCCTGTGTTTGTCTGGCCCAAGACACAGCAAGCTTCAGCCATACCACTGCTGACAGGTACTTTATCTGATCTGTTTATAACAGAACTGAAGTGATGCTGGTTCCACAAATCCCAAGGGAAACTAACCTCCTCTTCAGTATTCATACAATTATAAATGCAGTTATTCCTGAATGTCTAACCTAAATCTCCCCTCCTGCTCTTCAAGTGTATAATTTCCATTCCTAGCATAATGAGACACGAATAATTTGTCCCATTTATTCCCTTTTTCTTTCCAGCAACATTTTGCCTATTGAAACACTCATTTCAGTCATCCCCTCCCTAAACTGACTCACTTCTTTCAATCTTCTCCTTTCAGTAATGTTTTCTAGCCATCTAATCACTTCTAATCAGTCCATATCTTTCTTGAAATGCAGCGCCCAAAATCAGATCCAAGTACTGTAGATGACACTTGCTGTAAAGAAACAGAGTGAAAAGATGCTGTAGAACATGTGTTAATAAATTCTGTTTTCTTTTTTTTTTGCTATGTATTGGTACTGATGACTCATTTTCAGGTTGTAAACTTGAAATCCTTTTCACCAGTGAATGCTCATTTCTCGTCTTCTATCTATGAAGTTGATTATTTCTAAGTGTAGCATTTATCCTTGTTGATTTTAAATTGTCGCAAAAATCATACTAATCATGTCCTTCAAAGTGTTTGAAATCTCTCAGCATAGTATTATATACATTAAAGAAGCATCCTGTATGGCATTAGCCAACTCAGTAATGAAAATGTTAAATAGTATCTGCATAAAAACAGAGAACTGCATAATCTTTAGCACATCCACCCCGTTTAAGAGTTCAATAAAGCATTTTCACCTTATTTTGCCAACCACTGTCTAGTCATTTCCTCAAGATCATATTTGCCTTCATTAATTATGAGAATCTATGGATATAGTTCAGAATGGGCACATTAAAAGGGACGTGATACTCTGCTATGGAAGAAAGTTAATTTAAATTACTCTCTGGATAGAATAATACTCTATGAATAGTCATCATTGCCCAAAGTAGTCACATCATGTTTTGTCTGATGGATGACTTTAAAACTCAGGAGAATGATATAAAAATTCAGTATTTGCTATCATATGCAGCAGTAACATATCTAATCTGTGAGAACTTTCATATTTAAGTAAAGATTATAGATACTACATTGCAGTAAGTATGGCCTCTGGCTTTCTGAAGGCACTTTTGAGGAACAGTAAGTAGGGCTTGGTTTTGTGTGGTAACTACTCAAAGACTTGTATAATTCATTAGATATAATATATATTACAAAAACACCAAACTACTTTTCATTAAAGTACACAGCATCTCTTCATTTCTTATTTCAGTTTAAACATATGAGGCCAGAGATAGAGATAGGTAAAGACCTAGATGGCTAGAAGAACAGGTAGTTGGGGGACAGCAAACAAACATCTTTTGTGGCAGTAGAAAACTGACACAAATAGAAAAAAACATGTATCAGAATTCGTGATTCAGAAAGGGCTATGAACTTCATTAAAAAATTCAGTGATGGGAAGTCTGAAATAATGAAGCATCTAAGATTTTCTCAGTATTTCTGCCAACAGAAATCTGATTCACTTCTTCCTTGACTTCATGGACTGAGGTAATATCTGTTAGATGCTAAGCCTAGCATGATTTTGGTTGTGCCCATGTGAGAACAAGTGTCTGTGGAGCTGGTTTGTGAAAGATATCTTTTCATATATGTAGAAACTGGCTTGTTATTAATTGGCTTGTTATATTTCCTTTAACCAGTATGTATATCTGAAATATCAGCAAACAACAACAATTCCTAAGCTAACTGTACGCAATAATTTTTTTGCTGTTATGTTTGAAAAGAATAAGGAAGCTCAGAAAATAAATGAGACCTTTATATAAAGTGCTGGTATTATTGTACCTCAATCTTCTGACTAGGAACTATTAATATCTTTCATAGCTTATGGACCTGAAGTCTTTTAGGAGGACAGTATCAAATGGGAAGAAAATAAGATGAGAGAAATGTCACTTACATTTCCTACCCATTTTTCTCTAAAAATAACAATTCCGATTTTAATTATCGTCTTCTTTCCTACTAATCAGTCATGCCACTCACAGATTAGTTCAGTGGTGAATAAGAAGAAAGCATAAAAATATTTTAGTTAAAAACACATTTATAAACAGACTTACGTAACCAGCGTATAAAATGCATTACCTTGCTGTATTTATAAAATATGCTTCTTAATGCAAAATCCTTTGATTTTATGAGAAACAGAAACTGCTCTTTCTGATAAATATCCAATTTTATCAATAACAACAGCAGTGCAACTCACATCTTCAGTTCAGCTGTAACCATAGTAACTTCAAATAGAGAAGAGCCCTGTGATTATCAATATGACCAAAGGTAAGGGACTTCATATAGCTCTGAAATAGCTGTGCTTCAGCAAACCTTGTGAAGGTAAATCAGTTTTCTATGCTTGAAATGTCAAAAGTTAAAAAGAAAGAAGTGTTAAAGATACATGAAATGTCTTTTGACTGGAAGGTCATTGCACAGAACATGTTAATAACCACAGGTAAGACAAACTGCCAAAGTTGTACTTCCCCGTTATTTTTTGGTGGCTATGGCAGAGGTCAAATCTTTTCATTCATGTGCCAGTTTTGTTCTGTGATTCACCTGCTTCCATTACAACAACTGGTACCCTGAAGCAGCCTATTGTTGGGGCTTATTGCTGTGTCTGCCTTTCAGCCACAGAGGAGACTTGTCAGAATACCCTTATCCATGCTCACACGTGAGACAGTTTCATTTTGCAGGTCTCTGATGCTCAGGGACAGATTGCTGGGGACTCCACTCCCCACACCAGCACCTTTTCCACAGTCTCTTTGCTGCTCTTGATGAGCAATGCATGTACCAGAACATAGGGAGGAACTGCTCCATCCCCTTTGAAGGGATCACACCAAAAACCTTCTGGAGTTAGGTTATATTAAAAATCAAACACTATACTAACACAAGGGAAACCCTTTCAACACTGAAATGGTGAAATCTCTGCTGTTTTACACAGATGAAATAGCAAGAAGAGATGATTTCCCCTACTACATGATAAATGATACCTATTGATCAGAATAAAGAAAAATATAAATACTGGTCTGATGTTTTACATTAAAGACTAACAAAGGGAGAATTTGGAAATTTTAAAATTCTATTTCCTAGAAATTAAACCTTGCACTTGAAGTCTTGAAATGAGAAATTTTTTCTGCTGAAAATGATAAATTATTGGAAGGAGATATTTTCTGTAAAATGAATGACTCACTTGAAAGTAACCTTGCTTTGTCCCTAAAGCTTATACCTTTTCTTTCTAGAGACATGACAGTTTTTTTGAGGCAAGTCTAAGTTTCACAGATGTTTAGGGATCACACTCTATAATGGAAAACACAGTCCCAAGTATATTCAGTCATAAATTCATTTCGTAATCTTAGTTCAAGTGCTAGTTTTCTATATAAAGGAACCCGCGTGTGCTGGTTTTGGCTGGGATAGAGTTAATTTTCTTCATACGACACTATAGCATAAAAGAGCAATTCTGAATTAATTTTATGCAAAAATCTCTATATTAAAGATCTTCAAATTCCCTTTAAAACTAAAACCTACAGAGTGCTATAACATTATTTCCTTCGTCCTAACATTAGTAGCTACTTTTAGCTGGCATATGTTTGTTTACTGCCCTGGTAGTAAAATTCTTCATTTAACATGTAAAATCTACCTGTCATCTTTACTATGGCAAATAAGGAAGTCAATCAAAACAACCTTCGTTGAGTCAACAGATCACTTTTTAACATCTTTTGTGACTTAATTGCTTTCCACAGCCAAGGGACATTAAATCTGTTTTTAAAATGAGGTTATAATCCTACACAGTGAAGAATTACATGAAAAATTAGGTAGCAAATCTGACAGGAATTTATTATTTAATCATAGGACAGTAATTTATTATTCTATCCTACTTCTATAGCACTAACAACCTTTTACCAGAGATTTCTTTTTTTTAAAAAAAAAAACCAAAAAAACCCTAGATATCGCATATAAAATCATTAGACTGATTATTTTATGCCCTAGTATGTATCAGTCCTCCAGGGGACCATATTTTAACTGATTTTAGAATTCCAATGAGCTTTTTACATGGCTTGAGATTATAATTCACTAGTAAATCCTACAACACAATAAAATATTTTCAGCAATGTCTACCATTTAATTATGGAATTTTGAATGAAATTTTTCCTTAAGTCTTTGAGGGACTGAAATTTATGGATAAGATTAGGGAAAAAATGAAACAGCTTAGAATATTGTGAATAGATAACAGAGGGAGCAAACTTGAACATTAAAAAAACCTCTTGGACATGCACAAACACTCTATATAAGCAGAAGAGTAATTACAAACAGTATTAATCAATGATAGTTTGTCACGCTAAAAGTAGTTTTCTCAACTGCATATTAGCTTTTTAAGCCTATTTAAAAATCTGGGAAAAGTAATCCTTGTCACTTCTTATTCCTTCCAGTGGAAGCGGAACTTCTCTTTTTTTCCTCATGATCGTTCCAGATTAATCAGTGGTGATTTAATCCTATTATAATAAAAATCAGTGTATTTGTCTTATATATTTCTGCTCACAAGCTAGCACCTTCATTTGTGAAACTAAATAGTATTGGACTGGAAAATGGGGAAAGAAACTAAGCCAACTGCAAAACTCTATTCATAGCACAATCAAGAATTGTACTTGGAAGCTGTAAGCAACCTTTTATTCCATAAGCAATTTATTTTCCTAGGTTTTCTTTGTGCTCTCAGTTTCTGTGGTTTTTCTCTTGCTCTGAGGATAGACTCTAATCATGTACTGAATCTTATTAACATAGTTGGGTGATTTTATAAGTGGCAGCATATTGGATGCTTGGATTAATTTGAGAGTAACAATTTGATGCAGCTTTTAGAGCAATCTTGCAGCAACCGGTTTTGTGAAAATAAATTGTTTTACACTATATTTTTAAGCCATCAGAATGATAAACCACAAGCTCAAAGTCTTTTGTTGTAAATATTGAGGTTTTGTTTAAAGAATGGAATGAATTTGTAGAACAATGTTGCTTTTTGTAATTTCTTTTAATAGCCATGAATTTGAAAGATTTATTCATAAGTTTCTCAGAGAAGTTTCTCAAGGGTAAACACTAATGCAGTGTGTCATGCGCATCACAAAATGCTTTCTGTTCCACTTCCTGTAACAGCTCAACTGAAGATTTTGCAAAAATCCAGTGTACCCTTGCAGACTTTGTACTTTGTTGCTTTGTAGAAAACATATTAAAAAATCTTTTTTTCACGTCCTCCTTCATTGTTGTCCCACAGATGCAAAAAGCAGTGAGCATTCTTATTAACATTTTCAGTGTAACAAAACCTGGACACATCTATGAAACCTAGGCTAACTGAGAGGTTGCCCTTGTTTTATTAGAGGGTTGGACTAGAAGACCTCCAGACACCCCTTCAAATCTAAATGATTCTGTAATTCTGTGATTCCAAAATTCACTGAGTCTGTTTCCCAGACTTAGCTATTTACTGCAACTTTAGGCTTTAAATCTCACATCTGCAAATTCAAGTCAATCTGTTGGTATCTATCTTTTCAGAGTTGTATTTATCATGAAACATCACATTCAAATTGTAAAATGATACCTTAGAAGCAGTATTTATATGGCCAAATCTGAAGGCTGCATTCCCCATATCTTTAAACTGGGTTAGATGACACATGAATGCAAAGTCTAAATTATTAACCATGAGGCTCCAGCATTACAGCAGTTCTCATCTCAGCAATGAACAGATAGGTGTCCTGATGATTGGAGAACAACGTTTTTCCAGTCTCCCCAGCAACCTGATTTATAAAGTTTGTGAGCTAAACATAGGTAAATCAGTTACTAAAACAAACACAAGGGATCTCTGGAGCCAATTTGACTTACGATTATCAGAATATCAGACATTTAACAGCTATGGGAATAAAAAATCAAAACCAGAGACTGAACATTTCTATGGCACATGCAGTTGTTATGTTCTTATTTACTCTTCTGACTTTTGAAAAAGTAATTTATTTTAAACAGTTACCTGGATCTGTGGCAGACATCAGCGATCCAAAAAATAAACAGTCAGTGAAGTGGAATTCCCATCCTTTTAACTGGCCAATGTGTACCATGGCCTTCACAAAACCATACATTATCAACCTGTCAGGGGAAAGACAAGACAGGCATTCAGACAGAGTATATAGCACTTATGCTTAATTTATGGTAGTAATCAGGTTCTTAGTCTCTTCAGCTTCTTTTAAATAAATGTATCACGTGAATACTGAACATAAACTGCCATCATATAAAAATTCTATTTCCTATTCAACTGTTCAAGTATTGTATCGAAAAGTCACAGACAATGAAAAAGTAAGGACTTCTCTGAATAATTGTCATCTGCTGGTAGCAGAGCACAATGCTTTTAGCTGTTTATTTTTCAAAAGAAAAGATAATGTAAGCTTAAAAAGACATTATTAAGACTAATTTGTCTAATGTTGTAGAACATTTAAATAAAGGCAGTTTTACTGTCAGCTCTGTGACTTGCTCTAATATTTCTAAATGCATTGTTTTATTCTATCAGCTTTTAAATGTTAGCTGTATTCAAAGTTCCAGATAAGGTCTCCAAACAAGACAGATATTTAACAGCTCCCAATGACAGTGAGGCAACAAAGTCTCACTTCAAAATGCACTGCTCAGTTCTCACTATTTTCACAGGAAACATTATCGTTGGTTTATATATCTAGGTAATGCTATCTGAAATGTGTATTCTAACAAGAATCTTGAAATATCTTGAAAAAAGGAATTCACTTGTTGTTAGAACCTGTAGTATATTTTTAAATTTTTGTACGTTTCCAATCTAGTTAATAAATAACCCCATTGCATTCAATACCTTTTCCATAAACACAACACATAAATTGACAACTGTGCTCTTCTAACTACAGACTTTAAAAAACCATTTAAACAGAGCTACATGCATTCACATATTTAGCTACATTTTGCCCTCAGCTATACTCCTAAGACGCTTCTGAAGTCACTTAATTACAGAAGATCTGAGTGGCAGATAAAGTGCTACTAAACAAACAGCCTGTGAGTTAATTACAAATTGTTTTCAGATACTTTACCAAGCTATAGATTTTCTGAAGTATAGTTAACTTATTACATTAAGAGGGGAGCAGATAGGTCACCACAGAATTCCCCAATAGTCCTAAGTATTTGTGCCTGTATTTACATAAGCTGCCCAGCAAACAGCCACCAATTGCTCTAAATCAATTTATCCAGCTGTGAGTCTCCTTGATTGATGCGCTCACTTTCTCTCCATTCCCAAAGAACAACGATTCAAGACCCTGCAGTGAAGTTAGTCTTTTTATCCCCAGCACAAATATGTGTGCGTTAAGGAATGAGTTCTTCAGAAACTGACTGTGGTGCTGCTATCCTGATTCCTAATTGTCTCAAAAGTCAACAGTAATGGAAGTAAGCACATCTGTGCCTCTTGGAGATAAGTTTTGACCTCTCACAGTTTTGACCAGAGACACTCTTCTGACTCAGTTAAAAATATTTTAAAATAATAAAGAAAATTGTTTTGACTATCTGGCAAATTTAGTCATGATAATTCTTTAAATACATAGTGTGGACATCGTCCTGGTCTTTAGCATTGTTTCTTGTACCTTATTAAATATTTTCAGTATGTCTCTGCTCTGTCTCTGTACAGAATTGCAGATGAACAGGACAAAATTGGATTCAGGAGTCTTTCTTTGATGTAAGAGGTCTAAGTTTGCCATAAAGGTTAGTACAGTAGAAGACTTACAGAACCTGGTCCTAGTTCACATACCATTCAATTCTTAGCTGCACTGAAAAGGGAAATAAAACTGAAGATGGGGCTAAACAACAATGCTAATTTAATCACAGAGATGTTAACCATAATCCAGCAGAGAAAAGAGAACAGCAAACTCAGAATTTTCTATTTTATTTTTTTTTTTTTTTAAATTCATGAACTACTTAATACATTTTGGTAATGCTAAAATGGCAAAGGTCCAATTTATCAAACATAAACCCAACTAAGTGCAGACATACATTTGGATTATGTGAGAAACTGCTGGCTATAAATAAACCACAAGAATCTGTACTTGTACCTCCTCCATCTAACACATATGAAAATATGCACAGCAATAATATCCTATTGTAAATTAACTTTTAAAATACATTGGTTTATCTTGTCTTTAAAAGCCGTATATTTTTAATGAAGGCAATACATTAAAGTGATCAGTAATTATCATTTATCAGTGATTTCTTACTAGACACGTCCATACAAAATGCAACTCCCCCTTCACTTTAAATGACTTTACAAGGTTTTAAATACCTTTAAACCAGAAACAGTGTATTTCATTTTCAGTTACAATTTTCTAGTCATGTCAAAATTTGGTTTCTTGTGATCTTCTCCAAACTACACAAAAAAGTTCATCTAGAGGCTATTTTGAAAACTAGAAATCAAAAGGTTGTTTTGAACTGGGGTAACTTCTCTGATGTTTGTAAAATTAATGGAACTATGGCAGTTTATACCAGCTGAGAATAATTTTAGAAGTTCATCATAACACAAGATATACTCATGCATCCACTAAAAAAATGGGAATTTACCTTATTGTATTTCTCTAGATCTATCACAAGCTATGTAATTACATTTTAAATAAAATTGCTTTTGTTATCCTGCATATGACATCAGATCTTGTTCTCAGTTTTACAGATTAGAACTAAAAGAAATTCCAATTCTAAATCAAAGGATTTACTCTACATTTTAGACTGGTCAACCTGAGATCAGACTCTAACCCTTTGTATTCTAGCTTGTTATTTTTCATTATTCAAAAATGTCACTCTGGCTCTATCATTGTCTTCAGTGACAGAATATTCAGGTGGAGCAGTCTAATATATAGTCAAATTTAAATAATAAAGCAATTTATTTATGAGAAATGTTAATAACAACACTTTTTAGAGTACAAGTTGATGATGTAGTGAGACTTTTCCACTACATATTGAAAAGCTGGATCTCAGCTGGATACTTGAGCTCCCAACAATAGTGATATTAAACATCATCCAGTACTACACAACATGACTGTTCTTAATGGAAATCCAATGAGGAAAGCATACCCCAATGACAACGGGACATTAATCCCAAGGAAACACCCTGCATTGATGTTCCTATTGCTATTATAAACTAGAACTGAAAAAAATACTTATTGATTTTTAGGGCTGCTGTCATCTCATTTCATACATCTAGGTTATTTTTAGCAAGTTTACACCCACCAAGTTTCAGCAAATCTGATTGCTTTATTCATCTTCAGCAACCCAATTAATATATCTTTTAAAAAAATATTAAAATATCTGTTAAGAAGTTGTAAATAAGTCAAAGTGTCAGTGACTAAATTTCCTCCAGAATGTTCCTGTCTCACTAGAATTCAGTCCTAGCCCAGCGCTTGTTGCTGACACAGAGTAAGCTATTGACACAAGCCAAGTTAACAACAGTAGGAGCTCTGAATCTCTTCAGTAGGATGGTACTTCCATCTTTCCAATTCCTGTCTGTGAAATCATCCTTTTTTCACTTTACTTTTTATGTTTCTAATAATCTAGAATGCTAATTCCTTTAGAATATCAGAACTGAGATCTTCAAGGCTGCATAAAGGAAATAGAAGCTGAGTTGCAAATCAGCATAACCCTAATTTCCAATGTGGCTTTGAAAATCTTAACTTTAAAATACGCTTGCAAAGTAATATTATTTCATATACTGTTTTTAATCTTGTTTTTAGTCTATATTGTAAATTCTTTGGGAAAGTAGTTGGCCCTTAAACTATGGGACCTTTGTGTTCTATGTGACACTGCTCTGATAATAAACATTATAAAGTAACTGCTGTTTTCTGTATATGTCTGGATTTTGCAGTTATACTGCAAAGTATGCAACATTTAGAATATTGTAGTAACCACTTGAGATATTGCTCTTTTGTTTTCCCAAAATGAAGTAGCAAGCAGTATTCTGTGGAATAAAAACAATGAAACACAGATTTATGAAATTACTTAGGAGACTTCTACGTACATTGAAAATCTGAGTCCTCAGAGCTGCTGCCTTAGAGCCCTACTACACTTAATTTTTATCCATAAAGCCTCTTAACTCCCAACAGGTCTTTTTGGGGTGCTTGTCCAGCACTATGTAATGCATGTACTGGTTGTCTAAAGAACCTTTGGGATTCACAAACTAGTGAATGGCTGTCTTACCAGTAAGGTCTGCTACAGAGGTGCTGAGACCTGGCCCTCACAAACCCCAAAGCTGAATGAAAAAGAGTTGGTCCCTTTTCACTCAACTCCAATAGAGCAAGACGTGTGAGCCTCAGATTCAAACCCCTGTTTCACCTTGTTCACTTTCTTCACTTTCCTTAGATACTGGGAAGAGCTGACAGTGACTCAAACCATGTCTCTCTTGCATCTAGGAATATGTGACTGTTCAAGGAGCTACATACAATCAATACAGAGCAGGGAGTTGATTAGGGGTTGGCCCTACCTCCTTATCCACTTCTCTTTGTCCTGAATAAATGTGCACATTCAGCAATTTATTTGTGTGATCAGAAACTAGAAGAGTAGAAACATTATACTTTAGAAAGAAATGTCAAGTCAATTGATCAGTAATAGACAGTCACTGAAGACTTCTCAGTTGGACTTAGTGACGGTTTGGTACTGCAAATAATATTTGTGAATAACTGGTTTGGTCATGGATTTGGAATATTAATAAAGTAATACAATAGAAGAATAAAACTCAGATTAGCTTTGCTGCAGGAGAGCTGACATTTTCTACACCCAAACATAACTTTTTTGAAAGTGTGGGGAGGAGCCCATCAAGCTAGAGCAAGTGTTTTGTCACTTCAACAGAAAAAGAAAAAACCAGTAATTTAATGAAACACAGGAAAATTCAGATTTTTCCAGATTATGCAAGTCTGGCACTTACAAAGTGCCTCATCTCTAAAAAATGCTGTCATTACACAGTAAAGGAGATACCATATAAATATTTGACTTGCTGAAGTAGGAATTGTCTGGAAAACTGAGCTTTAACTACCATCATTTCTGGTATGAATTGGCAAGTAGACCACATAAAGTCTCAGTGCAACAACACAAAATAAACTTTAGAC